TTCATTTTTTTCTTCTCATTTTAAAAGAAATCAATCCATTTTCATGGGTCGCTAACAGTCCTGTGGGCCCTAGGCATCGTGCATTCTGTGCCTAGTAGATAAGTCATCTCTGTGGTCATAGCCCCCATTTGCACCAGTCTGCCCAGGACAGGAACATAGCTCGCGGTAGGGAACAGCGGGCATTTTTTTCTTCTCAGGTAGTCCTGTGACCATCATGAAGCAGTCCATGCAGCTACCCAGGAGCTGTTCGGTTTGGTCCTGAAGTGACAGCTGAGCAGTGAGGGAACTAGACTCACATGGAGGGAAGGGTAGGGGCAGGAGTCCTATGGCTTAAAACCCTCATATCCTATAGGAGCCAATTTCTCTGAAACAACTCCACTGACATGACTTCCAGCATTCCTCCAAGGGCCATGGCCAACCACACAAGAGTCATCATACTCAGAGCAGCCCAAAGCCCTGGCTTTCTGTCCAGTATTTATAGTTCCCCCAGTCTAATGCAATTTACTAAGCAAGGGTCATTTTTATCATAAGCAATCTTGCCTGGCTAGAGTTTGACATTCTTCCCTTATCAGGTTTCCAAGGAAACAGAGCTAGAAAGTTAACCAAAGGTCAGATTCTTATGTAGAAGGGAAGAGAGGTTTAATAATCCTTTGCCTACAACAAGCAACCTGCCAGTTATTAAGGAAATAGTTATATTAATGTTTCAATCCAGACTTTACGGTGTGTCTGTGGCAGAGACGATGCTATACATGTTCCCCAAACTCCATTTCCTTTTCCTTCTGGCATAGTTAGACCACATTTTCCAGATTCTCTTGCAGGTAAATGTAGGTTTGTGACCAATTCTGGCCAATGAACAATGGGCAGGAGTAATACAGATCACTTTCAGGCTGAACCCATAAAATCTCTCTGGAAATCCTCCATACTCTCTCTTTCATCCTCTGCTGATGAGATGCAAAGGCTTCAGTGTGGGATTCCAGTGCCCTAGGGACCGGTGGGGCTACTCCATAGCAGGAGCCTGGGTGTCTGAATGATTGTGTAGGCCCTGCACCATAGGGCACAGACCCCTTCCTGCCAGCACACACTGGATGTGGTATAAGCGAGAAATAAGGATGAATTTGTCTGTGTTTTTAATTCCTCTCCTTCCCCCGCTGAAAGATGAACTAACAGTGAATGTTTGATTAGGAAAATTAAATTACTCTGGTTAACACTCTTATGTAGACAAACTACACGACTAATCTCCCCTCTGGTCCTTTTTAACATGTGAGGAAAACTTGTGAGCAGGGCACTAGGGCAAGACATCTGTCTCCCCATCACCACCTTCTATGGTCCTTTGCTGAGAATTGGGTAACTTCTGACTGAATAGAAAATTCCATGACAGTTAGAGGATCGTCATCTAAGAAGCTACTGCCAAAAGCTATTCATTTCAATCAGATTTCAGTGACATGATTTGGGGCAGAAAAAAGTCCAAACTAAGTGAGGAAGGAGCCAAAAGTTCTCATGATTAAAACCCTACTTGGGAAAACTAAGAAATGTGTTTGCTAAGAAGTCACGAGACTAGTACTGCTTTGTACCTAAGAAAGTCTTTTCCCAAATCGTGCTCTTTAAATGGACAATGTTATTTAGTGGTTCTGTGCTTAGTCGTTTTAAAGAAGAAACTGGAAAGCTGAAATTGGAGCAAGGGAGAGAGCAGGATCCCTAACCCTCTACGCTTCCTTCTTTCCCTGTCTCACAGTCTGCATGGGGGCTTCTGGAGCCCTGAGAGCAATCCTGTCACCCTGGTACACTGTACTTTGCACAGAGGAGGCCCTAGGCATAGTGTTTTAGCTGGACAACAGGACCAACTTTTTCCTATACCTGAGCTCTTCTCAGGATCACTACTCTTCCTTCTTACAGAAGGTACATCTTATGGGGAGCAATAGCCTCTTTTGTTTTCTGTAGGTTGGGGGTATACTCTCTCCTGTCTTAAATGTGACAGCGTACGTGTACTTCTCTGTGGTTCTGCTTAATGTTATTCTATATAACTATATGTAGACTAATAAAACAAAAAACTGTAAACTCCTGGAAAGAAGAAATGGCCTTTTTATTTCTTTATCTTCCCTTTGTGCTTTGTATCAGTTAGAATTGCATTCAGTTGCAAGTAACAAGATCTGAAACGTAAGGCTTAAACATGCAAGGTTTTGTCTTGTCACATAAGTAGGTCCTGATTCAGTACATCCGTGTTAGGTTTATAGTGGCTCCACCAGTCTCCACTGACCTGGGTTTCTTCCAGCCCTCTGCTCCAGTATCTCTAAAGAATGGCCCTGTCTTACACAGTGGCTGCTGGAGCTCCAGTCATCACTTCCATGTTCCAGGCAGCAAACAGAGAAAGGGGAGGAAAGCATACCCTTCCCCTTTAAAAATAGAAGACTTCTGAAAGTCCCACTCCCCTTCTACTTACATCTCCATTGCCCAGAACTTGCAGACCCAACAGCAAAGAAGGCTGGAGAATGGAGTCTTTCAGCCAGTTGATCATGTGCCTGTCCAAAAACTGGATTCTATTTCTAAAGAAGCAGTCAATGAATATTTGATGATAATGATGATAAGGTAGCAGAGTATTGGCCAAAGGACTTCTCCATGGAGAGCAGTTTAAAGAGATTAAAGTTTAAGAGATTAAATATCCGGAAAGGCTGAGATGGTAGAAAAGTTTTCAAGACAATTTACTCAGGGAAGAGGATTTGTAGAATTCAGAGGCCATTCCATGACCTTTTTTTTTTTTTAACATTGAAAATATTTATTGGATTGTTTTATGATTCCAGAAGTATACCTGTCAATTTCTAAAATTTAGAAAAAAAAGAAAATAATGTCCCCTACTCCCAGAACCTAGAGTTAGCCCTTGTTTACATTTTGGTGTGCTTTACTCAAATCTCTTCCATGCATAAATAGTTTATTAATTTTGAACAGGTGGGGGAAAAAAAGGCCATTCTTGCCGTTTGTGTGTGTGTGTGTGTGTGTGTGTGTGTGTGTGTAGTGGTGTTTTAACTGTGCTTTTTAAAAAAAGAATATAGTGAAAAAGCTTCCTCTCACCTTTGTCCCTTGTCCAGTCCCCCACTCCATGATCGCTGCTCATGGTGATTCTGTATATCACACCAGAGTTTATTTTTTGCATGTTTCAGCAAATGCAAACTTTCATATTCCCTTTGGCACATTTTACACAAACGCCCATCATACACACTGTTCCTCACCTTGCTTCTTCCACTCACGATTTATTCTGCACCTTGCTTTGTACCATCAGCACAGAACTTCCCTCTTCGCTTCCATAGCATTCCTTCGTGTGGATGTATCCCATTTATGAAAGAGCTCCCTACTGATGGGCACATGAGTTTCTAATCTTTTGCTGTTATAAACCATAAACAGTCCTTTGTGGATCTCATTTGAATATATTAGCATATTTGTAGGATAAATTCCTAGATGTGGAATTGCTAAGTCAGATGCATTTGTAACTTTGATAGATATTGCCAGATTACTCTCTACACCCATTGTAACAATTTACACTCCCACCAGCAGTATATGAGCGTGTCTGTTTCCCCACAGTCTCATCAAAAAAGTATACTTTCAAACCTCTGTATTTTTGCCTGTATGATAAATTTTTAAAATCTATGTTGGTATTAGGAAGATTGACTCACAGTTTTTGGTTTTTTCAGTTTCTGTGTTATCGGTGTCTCTGCCCAGTACTTTCCCTTTCGTGAGCATTTGCCTATGAGATCTCTGGGCACGCAATGGTCTATTTGACTAATAAGCAGAGGAGAGCTGCACCCTCAACTCAACAGCTGCTATTTCTCCCTGCATCTTATCCTTGATAAATGCACCAGTTCCCTTCTAGCTAAACGACTGTTTATGATTTTGATGGTTTATACCCTGCTATATTTCTAAGGTATTTCAAGTAAGAAAGTTGGAATAAGGGGGAAATAAGAGTAAAAAATGACTACGAAAAGCAAGATGAAGCCAGAGGTGAAGTTAACATACCAGATATCCTCCACACTGGCTAGAGGCCGGTTACAGATTTGGCCAGTGCAAAGACAGGAACAGTTCATGACATCTCTACAGTGCTGTCATAGCCTGGCTTTCCTGAGCCTGTAACAGATATAGCAGAGTGCTTTGAGGGAAGACATTCCTCTTCCTTCACCCTTCATGCTCAAACTGGGCTGCCGAACGTATCTGGAGCAGCAGAGGTAGCAACAAGACTGGGAGGAAGGTGGTCCAGCCGATGCGAAGGGAAGGAGAGAGGAAAAGCTTGGTAGTGAGGAGACACAAGGAAAGAGGTGGGGGAACATGCTTGGAATATACATTGGTCAGAGGCAGCTGCCTCCAAATACTACCTAAATGTGGATAGGTTTAGCACCATTTACCAAACTGTAGTTGCTGTAAATTCACATCAGCTTAATTCTACTGAAATTCTCATAGTCTGCGTGGCTTGCTTTCTCTAAGCCCTGACCTTGGTCAGATTTCTTTGGGCATCTTGGCTGCTTTTTCTGGCCAGTTTGTACTTGGAGTTGACCTCTCTAAAAGATGGAGGGATTGCTTTGGACTTGGATAGTGACAATACATTGTAAGAAAACATTCGGGATCCTAGCAGAAGGGAGCATAATTCTAAGAATGTTTAGGAGATTGTCTTCCTGTCTACATCAACTGACAATACTTTGCTTTTCAGTATACTTCATGCAAAAAATTGTCACTTTAAATCTAGATTGAAAAATTAGCCATACTAGGATTATAGCTCTGGTGAGAGGCATTTGCTTATGGAAGGGAGTGTGAGGAATAAAAAATAGTGCTAGTGTAGTGGGATAAAAGTTTCCCCCCCAAATCAATGTTGTCATATTGTCTTTTCACACACGGAGAATCACAGCCATTGCTCAGTATCAGAATAAACTGGTTTTGCTTCGTTTGGTGCAGAGAAAGCTACCCTCTCTCTAGGCAAATCAAACAAACCCTTTTACTTACAGCACAATGTTTTGTCTTTGCAGGCATCCTATAAGCCGTTGTTGAAGCAGGTTGTGGAGGAAATATTTAATCCCGAGAGGCCAGATCCCGTTGACATTGAACACATGTCTTCAGGCCTCACTGATCTCCTTAAAACTGGATTTAGCATGTTCATGAAGGTAAAGTAACCATGACGAGGTAATCCTGAGTGTAATGCTGTCTTTGCTGGGCTTGAAAGTGCTGGTACCCCCTTAACCCTGGCGAGTACCACAAAGGAGAACGTCCAGTATTTGGCCCTTCTGAAATCGGGTGCGATCTTCATTTAACTTTCGGTTATAAGCAGCCTGACCTTCCAGCCTCATACAGCTTCCCTTGACCTAAGCATTATGATCTTTTCTGATCAATAGGTAAGGACACAAGCCCTCCAGGTAGCACCATTGAAAACTTCCCTCGTGGCCCACATTTTCACTTAACAGGAATCCACATACCATTCACAGATCTTAGTGGTAGCCCGGTGCTCTTAATTCTAGAACTTACTATGTGGGATAATGAGTAACTCTGCTCAGTTGTATAACTAGCATCACCCCAAAATCCATTTGAAAATGACTTTTATTTGGGCTTAGCAGACTCCTGGGTGACAAGCATGAGCATTTCCCTGGCTAGTATTAAGGGTAGGTCAAAATTACTGAACAGCCTTTGCAGTGGAGATGAAAGGAGGAAAAGTACACAAATGTGATCTATTTTTAACCCACTATAAAGTTTCTAAATTTAAAAAGATCTAAACAAGATTACAGGCTGACCTCCTCTTCTGTGCCAGGATTTCAGTTGTAATAACTCTTGGAAATAACAGAATGTTTTGCCAGCTTCAAAGCATCTTTCAAATCATGAATTAATCTGCATAGAAGATCAGGCCTTTCAGAGTTCAATAAATGCATGTGCCAGGAAAACTGGTCCACTCCAAAAGCTGGAGGACGGAAGCCAATCAGACTCTAAACCAAGCAGTAAACGGCTGGAATGGACACCCAGTCTCCTTCCCAGTGGTCCCAGTTACCATCAGCTTCTGATGCAACGCGCGGCTGGTGCATTTTCCCTCTGTTTTGTTTTTGTTTTTTCTTTTTTAAACAATGCAGCACAGTTCAGCTTCTCAAAAGTGTTCGTGGACTCCCATGTTAAATGTAAGCCCAGGGTTGTCCAACAGCCCTTCATGGTGGCTAGTTTGTACAGAAGCTTCCAGGCTAGCGGTGGTCTCTGGCCTTCTCCACCCGAGCACCCTATTCCTTCATTCATAAGCTTGGACTTAACCTTGGAGAGAGACTAAAATAACAAGAGTGGACTTTCCTGCCCTGATCCATCAAGTCTGAGGACGGCTCATTTTGTCTTTTCCCAGTCAGGCTGCTGCGTCCGTGGGCAGGGCAAGGGCACACGTGGAGGCTCGAACCTGTCTGCACTCTGCTTACTGCAGGAGTTTCTAATTTGCAAGGAGGCACGGTGTCAGTGAGAGAAGGCCTTAACTCGCTCTTAGGCCAGTGATGTTCTGCGGAAAGAACTGTGTCCTGGCGAAAGGGTTCTGTGACCAAATATGTTTGGGAACCCATGGGATAAACAGAAAATTAACCCGAAATTCTTTGCTGTCAGATTTCACAGTGCCTTTAATGTGCTAACGGACTTTGCAACTCTCTGGAGGCCAGCATAGACTGTCTGTTGTAGGAGGACTGTCCACTTGCATTTTCCATCACTGTTTCATGAACCGTGAGACATCACATTTTTAAATTACCCTTTTAAACTACACGGAGTGTTTTCTACAGCTCTTCTTGCGGTCGGAAGCTTCGCTGTCCTAAGGGGAGCTTTGCCTGAGAGGATGTTTAGAACCGTCCTGGGCCAGCACTGGCCTGCTGTGTTTCTCTCCATTCAAATCCTTGGAATTAGAGTTCATGAAGAGATGCCCCCGCCCCTGGAGACTGATCTCAAAGAGAGGTTTCCATGTAATGGATTTAAGAAAAAGGAATGTGTGTTCTTCCAGCAGCTGTCAGCATCCACTCCTCGGCCTGCAGCTGCCGGGTCTCTGCTTTCAGTAGCCAGGGGCTCTCATCTCTGTGCAGGGGGTGGGAGAGTCTTGGTGGGCTGGCCCAGTAGCCCTCCTCACCCCAGCAGCCCAAGGGAGAATCATTTTGTTCCATTTCTACGTGGGCCTCTGTGGCCAGCTCTTCCCATCATTCCACAGAACTTGGCAAGGAAAGTTACCTCTGGCCCATGTGTTCAAAGTTTAAACAAAATTGGGATAAATGGAAGAAGGAACTGCAGGGCTTTGAGGACCTAACAGTGACTTCTCAAAGACCTCCGTCTTTGAGATGGGGGATGATGCCATCAGGAGAAGTATCTTCTACGTTGGTTTAAGGCCAGTGGAAAGAAGAGGATGTGGATAGAAGAGATGGAGCCTCTCATGGCCACGGCCATTCACCAGTCTCCCTGGTCCTGTTCTCTGATGCTTTTCACTAGCAAAGTCAAACAGCTAACCTGTGGTCAGCTGTACCAGGGAATCAGCCATTCCCAGGTTCAAACCTCACAACACCCCTTTCATTATCCCTGCTTTCCCCGTGGGGAAACTGAGGCTCAGAAAGCTTAAGCAGTAGATGTGAACTTCCAGAAGGCCCAAATTGGGTCATCCTCCCCTCCGTTCTCAGGTGCTTTCCAGACAGCACACAGGAAATGGGACAGCAGGATTGGTTCCCAGGTCAGTCTTATTCCAGAGCCCGCGCTCTTAACCACATTTCTTGGCGCCAGGATGCTGCCAGGTATTTTCTTGGAAGTTAAATATTCATGTGTCATTAATTCTTTTCTTCCTGACGACTCATTAGCACAGATGCTTTCCGTCTCCAGTATCTATGCAGCTCCTCAGTCAGCTCCACGCCCGGACTGGTCATCCATGTGAGGGAGCTCTCCCGGGGTCATCTGCTGTTACCCTGTCTGCTTCTCTGGGACTTGGTCCCGGGACTCACTGGCAGTACAGCCCCAGGAGAAGAAATTTGCGCAGTGGTGTGAGCTGCTTCCACACACTGCATCTTCATTCTGTATCAGCAGCCAACAGCCATCGCTTTCGGGCCACTTGCTGCCCTGCTCTTTGCCTCTGGGACCTGCTTCCCCCCTTCTCACTCAAGACCCACTGATGCTGTGCCTGAAGGGAACAAACAGACAGAGCCTGATGAAATAAAGGTGTCCACGTGGGCTCCTTCTGTGCTTGGGGTACTGTCACCCAAATGGGAGAGCTGTAGGGCTGGAAAGGGAGCTGAGCTGCTCATCTGTCCCCGTCCTGTCTGTGGACTCACAGGTGGTTTCACAGATGACTTTGGCTCAGTCACCAGAGGCAGTATCTGTAGCCTACGCGGGGGATGAGAAGCCAGCAGGAAATGTTCTGGGAAAGAGACCAGCAGACATTACCGCAGAGTCTACTGGGGGTCCCCATGACGGTGATAGGAAAAACATAGGAGAGGGTTTTCCAGGCCCCAGTGTCTCGTCAGGGCTCTGGATCTTGTGTGCGCACTTCTGTGACTGCACTCATTCCTTGCTTTATCATTATACGTGTTAGGTATCTTTCTCCAGACTAGCATGTTCTAACTGAACGGCTTCATCCACTGCACATCAGTGAATCAAGATCTCAGTTCAATGTGTTGTAATCAGCACTTCTTAACGAAGAAAAATAGAACAGGCTAGCAACGTGAAACCAAAAACTGAGTCACACATACATACACGCTTGTGATTTAAATGAATTTCTTGCTTTCGGCCACAATCAAAAGGTGAGGGCTTCCCTGGTAGCGCAGTGGTTGAGAGTCCGCCTGCCGATGCAGGGGACACGGGTTCGTGCCCCGGTCCGGGAAGATCCCACATGCCATGGAGCGGCTGGGCCCGAGAGCCATGGCCGCTGAGCCTGCGCGTCCGGAGCCTGTGCTCCGCAACGGGAGAGGCCACAACAGTGGGAGGCCCGCGTACCGCAAAAAAAAAAAAAAAAAAAAAAAAAAAAAAGGAGGTGAAAGCTATGGCTATGAGAAAGGAGGGCTGATCTGGGTCTCATTCTTTCCTGCATCCTCAGCATGGGGCACCTGCATGGGCCTTACACACAGCAGGCACCCGCTAAAGGTTGGGAGTGGCCCTGTGAGGGCGCCCATTCAGAGAGCAGCAGGCTTCAGTCAGTGGTTCCTCTTTCCAGCTTACTGCCCTTAAGCCGAAGCTACATTTCAACAACTTCACGAGGGAGAGAAGGCAGCAGCCAGACCAGGCAACTCCAGTGACCCTCAGCGTATTCCCTGACCCTCCTTTGCAGCAGCTACTAAGCAAGGCGAAGCCAGTCACTGTTCTGTCATTATGTCACCCCAGAGAAGCAGCGGCCCACGGGCTCCCGCTCACCACCCAGCACTGCCCTGCTGGGGGAGACGGAAGCCCACCTCGCCTCTGTCAAAGAAACCTGGTGGGCTCGTCTTCTGTCCACAGACAGCATGGAAATCTGTTTCTTCCACCTTCTTTGTCTCTCTGGAGAAGAGAACGGAAGCAAAGAGACTGGTTTTGTAGTGTGAAGACTCAGAGGAGCCAGCAGGAGAAATGTCCGAACAGTGTTAGGCAGGGGGGTGCATGTTGTCAGGGGAGGTTTTGGGGGTCGCTTGTCTACTCCACATCTCTCACTTTTCTGTTTGCTTTTGTAAATAATAGAAGGCCATCTAGTTTATGCTCTATTAACACCACTGACCTCCTTCTACTGCCCATGTTTGTTTTCAAGAGGCAATAGGGAGTGGTGGTAACATCCGGAGTCAGGTGGTCTGGGTTAGAACTCGAGCTCCCGCACTTACCAGCTGTGTGACCGCGGGTATGTTGTCACTTAAGCCCTCTGTGCCTAAGTTGCCTCATCGGTAAAATGCGGATGATAGTAGTACCTACTTTACAGGACTGTGGTGAGGATTAAGTGAGTTCATACATACAGAGGATTTACACCAGTACCTGGCCTACAGGAAGTGCTAAGTATGTACTTGCTATTTTTATTTGCACAAGTTCGTGATCCTGGCCAGACTGTGGCTCTTGGGAAAAGAGCCACCTTGAGTGTCTTTGTATTGCTGTACAGAGCCCGTGTGGGGGCATTTGGTGCATACAGATTAACCGCTGAGTGAACAAATGAATCACACAGGAGAGAACTGAC